TATACAACTCGCAAAATGCGAGTTACAATTTCCAAATTGCGAGTGTAAAAATTTGTAACTTTTTTCACTGTAAATTTTACCAAGGGAAAAATTCATATTGACATCCCCCATTTTTAAACCCATGTCCGACAACCAGGCCTAAAAAAACGACCGATCTATTCAAATTACCTCCAGGTGGATTTTTTTTTCTCCCAATCTGCTTGGTTTGATCAATCAGCTGATTTGGAATCCATTTATTAAAAAAAATATTAATTGTAGCTTAACTTGAGACATAAAATATGTCAACCTAGTTAACATTTACCTTAAATATAAAGAATAATCATAATGTATTATTGTAACTTTAATTTCCCTCCACAACTTTTGAAGTTCGTTTTTTTGCGGCTAGGCAGTCATGTTGGTTGCCATGTTAGGTGTCCACAGTAAATATAACATCTGATTTATTCAGTCCGGGGATGTTTGGCTCTATTAATCATAAGGAAAAAAAATCTTGACCTTCTGGACAATGATTTTTGGGGAATTTTACAGGAAACAAACATAATTTCTATTTAAACCTCGTGTAGAAAATTTTGAATTTTTTTTTAAATGGATGGATGGTGATTTATTTCTAGAAAGCTTTCATTTTAAAATTGCGAGTTCATATTTTTGGAACTCGCAATTATTTGCGAGTTGTAATTTTAGGGAGTTTCTACCCCTGGTCTGATTTCAATATAACTTGGCACACAAGTAGACTACACCAAGATACATAATTCTGTGCATCGGTTTTTGATTTCGATGAACGGTGTTGCTATGGTAACTAAAAATAGAAATTTATGTGAAATTCTTTCAGAATGCTACTCCTCCTACAGTTTGGGTCCGATTTCAGTATAATTTGGCACACAAGTAGAGTACACCAAGATACATAATTCTGTGCATCGGTTTTTGAATTCGTTGAACGGTGTTGCCGTTGTTACTAAAAATAGAAATTTCTGTGAAATTCTTTCAGAATGCTACTCCTCCTACAGTGTGGGTTCGATTTCAATATAACTTGGCACACAAGTAGACTACACTAAGATACATAATTCAGTGCATCGGTTTTTGATTTCGATGAACAGTGTTGCCATGGTTACTAAAAATAGAAATTTCTGTGAAATTCTTTTAAAATGCTACTCCTCCTACAGTTTTGGTCCAATTAAGATAAGATACATATTTCTGTGCATCGGTTTTTGATTTTAATGAACGTCAACGGTGTTGCCATGGTTACTAAAAATTGAAATTTCTGTGAAATTCTTTCAAAATGCTACTCCTCCTACAGTTATGGTCCGATTTCAATATAACTTGGCACACTAATAGACTGTACTAAGATACATAATTCTGTGCATTTTGCTTTATTTTGATGAGCGGCAAGGATCATTTCTCTATTTATTGCTGTATAAACCAGTAGAGCTACAGTCTCAACAGAGACTTCTGGTTTCTTGTAAGAAATAGAATCAGCTGATTGATCAAACACAGTTTTGCCATTTGTCAGAAAAAAAAATCCACACGGGGGTAAATTTGAATGGGTCAGTCCGTCTGATTACTGGAAATAAACACAATCACATTTTTAGAGTTTCAAATTTTTAAAAACCATTAGAAACAGGTTTAGAAATCAGAGAGTGATAAAAATTATGTATAAATTCATACATTATGAAGAGGTACAAAACAGAAATTTGGGAAACGAATCGTCTGACCTTAATCAGTTACCTAGTTAAGTGACTGGCATATGGGGAATTTTTAACATTCCCAGGTTAATTCATGAAATGCAGAATATTAAAAATATACGGACCCAAAATATACCAATGTAATGTTTTTAAACAATCTTACACTGCATTTATTATTTTTAATAAGATACACATCCAGAATTTCTACCTTCCCAGTGCATTTTCTGATGAATGCAGGTTTGTTAATTTTGAAAAAAGAAAGTGTCAAGTAGCATCCATTTACCCCAAATACTTGTACATTTATATTGGTTATATGCATGAAAATGGCTAAGTCCAGAAAAGTTACATTTTAGTTATACATGAAAATGGCAAAGTCCAAAAAGTCACATTTTAGTGATACATGAAAATGACTAAGTCCAGAAAAGTTATGTTTTAGTTATACATGAAAATAGCTAAGTCCAAAAAGTTACAATTTAGTTATACATGAAAATGACAAAGTCCAGAAAAGTTACATTTTAGTTATAGGTGAAAATGGCAAAGTCCAAAAAGTTACATTTTAGTTATACAAGAAAATGGCAAAGTTCAGAAAAGTTACATTTTAGTTATATGTGAAAATGGCAAAGTCCAAAAAGTTACATTTTAGTTATACATGGAAAAACTAAGTCCAAAAAAGTTACATTTTAGTTATAACTTTTTTGTACCTAAAAGCCTAGTTACAACTAAGTTATACTTTAGTTATAACTTATTTCGGTATGGGCTGTTGAACATTTGTAGGATGTCAGCATTTGAACTATAATTTTGGTTTGGAACATACATGTATATGGATGAAGGGATAAAAGAGATTTTATAATTTCATGGTCATAAGCCCTATTGAAAAAATTCACTCGTAATCTTTTTTAATCTTTTATGGACATCTTTGCATTTTGTATATTTCTTTCTTGTGTATTATATGGGCAGTTACTATCACCAAATCTGTGAAATTTGTGAGTCCTCTGTCCATGCTTCAGGTCTCAGAATGTTGGGGCTAAATTGATGAAATATTGGATATTAATCTAGCTATTTGTTTGTATGATTTTAATATAGACCTAAACCTCAACCAAAATTGTAAAAAAAAAAAAAATGTCCCCTTTTAATTTGTCCAGAATTCAAGCCCAAGGGTAGGGTAAGTTTGTGATATATTGAAAGTACATTACAACATTGACATTTTTGAATTCTCATTGACTTGCAAAAATTCTTGTCACATGATCAAGGCCAATTTAAGGCATGACAGTTCATGGAGGACTGAGTTGGTCATATTCCAAGATTCCTATATGTGTCGGAGACTCTTCCTTTTTGGGGAGGAGGGCTTTTTCTTTTCTTTTTTTTCTGAAGATATAAGTTAAAAAATCTTTAGTAAGAAAGAAGAACACTACTGGGGAATTATTCACAATCTCAGATAAAACCTATATTTTGCTCTTGTTCTATTAAATGCGTGCTTTACTTCACAAATCAAATACTTAGGTAGATATAGATGACCACACCTAGATAATGGTAGGAATTAAGGTACATGTAATTTGATACCTGCATTACAGATGGGTACTAGCTTGCATGATTTTAGTTTTTTCTTCAATATTTCAACATCCCCATAAAAATTAAAAATTGCATTATTATTTATTATCATATAATTATAACAAATGCAACTTAATAGGTTTTAACTTTTAACCTGTGGTTTTTCTAAATGGTTGATCTTATAATCCTCTAAAATCTTTTTTTTTGTTTGGTGACTTGGGTGCTGTGTGAAATATATTAACCACACATTAAGCTTTAATTAAAAAATATGTGTTTATAAACTACTACTAATACATGAAACATAATGATTAGTGTATGTTCACAGATTAATCCTAGCATGCTTAGTCTACACTAGTTTAAAGAGAAAGTTAAATTACACCCCAAATAATCATATACAGTAATAATTATGCTATTCTCTATTGAGAAGTCGATGGCTTGTTTGGGGGAGTATTATTGAGCCATCAAATTCTCAACATAGAATACTGTAAACGTATTACCATTTGGCGGTGTATTCTTTTTAGCGGTTTTGGCGGAAAGATACTTCCGCTAAGTCAAGTACATCGCGAAATGTCTTAAACAATGAAACATGAATAAGAACATCAAGAAATGTGCTAAATCAAATCTATGCTAACTTGTTTGAAAATTATTTTCCGCTAAATATCGTACATGCTAAATATAATACATTTACAGTAATATTTATATGAATGTAAACAAGAATTTCTTGTAAGAAAAAAGAAATAAGGAGTGGAAGTTACTTCACATATTAGATAAAATCTATTAAAAACAAATCCATATGTTAATAAAAAAAAAGTAAAAAAAAACAGAACACCATGCATGCAATTATTCAAAATGAGAGCAGTACATGTATATAACAATCATTTTTTTTACTACATGTATTAGTTTTGAAAGTAAATGTCTTATTTATTTATTAATTTGAGGGATCAATGTTCGAGGATTTTTTTAGTCACCCTTATCCATGAATGTGGGGGACCAATGTTCATGGATTTCATTGGTCACCCTAATATCCATGAATTTACATCAATCTCCACGAAGATTTTTTTTTGTCAATGTATTTATTCATTGAATCTTCTTAATACACAAGTTACCTACAAAATCATATATGTCCCCCCAAACCCCAAAAAGTTTGCTTTCCCACGAACATTGACCCCCACAAATTATAATGATTCAGCAGTATTTATGAGGACCCTGTTGGAAATAAGCCTATTTTAGCTTTCATGGGTCCTCCTTGGGAATGGCTTTTATGCACATGGTGTTTATGTATGTTAATTTAAACATATAACAAATTATCATAAGTACTATTTTTATGATCTAATTAATTTATTTTAGAATATATGGTAATTTTACTTAATTTTTAAAATTTAATTTACTAAGAATTTAGAATTCATGTGTTAATTTTGCTGTATTCTATGTGGCATTTTCTGAATAAATAAACAAAAATACATTAAGGCCAATTTTACCTGAACATGTATTTGTGCAATGGTTCTTAAATAATTATTCTTATTTTTATAAAATTCTTTTGAATATACACATGCATATAAACTCTTTCAGTGTATAATATAACTAATATTTACATGTATGACTTTGACTTTGTATAAATGAGATGACTTATTTAGGCTGTGCCTGCCATTCAATCCTTTTATGTTTTTTCATAATAAAATATTGTTTAAATTAAATTTTTTTTCAAAATGATTGTGATTCTCAAATTCTCAAAACTTGAATATGTAGATCTCTGAAAAATTAGGGGAAAAAATTGTCAAAAGAAAAAAAGCAAAAAAAAAACGCAAAACTTTGAATGTTCAAAATTATTGTTTAAATAATTTTTTCCTGCATGGACAACAAAAAATGATTCTTGAATGTTATTTAATATTTTAATATTTAATTTCTATTATAGATTGATGATTGGGACTCCATTATGACAAGAAAATCAAAGCCAAAAATCATCTGGTTGTCAGAAAAAAGGTAATAAACATTCCTAACACTGTTTCTAGTACAATATTTATTTTTTTCTATCAAGTAGTAAATCTCATAAGCTATTTAAAGAAGATGTATGAATCAGACTACAGAATATGCTTAGGACCAGTTTACCAGTGACGTTTGGACAACCTTTTACCTGATATTATAAATTAATTCAATTTTGTCACCAATCACACAGGATAAAATTATCCCCTCCCTCTCCCTCCCCAATCTCCAGACAATAAAAATTATTATTCTGTGCTCTGTGATGTGGACTGTCTGATGGTCAAAGCTATTACACAACAATCAAGCATCAGTGATCAGAAAAGAAAGATTAAAAGTAAAGAAATAAGGTGGCAAGATGATACCTGTAGAAAAACAAACAGTCCACAGCAGAAGTTTATAAAGATTTTTAGCTCTACTGGTCAGAGACCAGAAGAGCTTATGCGATAGTAATGCGTCCGGCGTCCGTCCGTCTGTCCGTCTGTCTGTCCGTCTGTCTGTAAACAATTTTTCAAAATGCTACTCCTCCTACAGTTTTTTTTTTATTTCATTATAACTTGGCACACAAGTAGACTACACTAAGATACATAATTCTGTGTATTGGTTTTTGATTTTGATGAACGGTGTTGCCATGGTTACTAAAAATAGAAATTTCTGTGAAATTCATTCAAAACGCTACTCCTCCTACATTTTTGGTCTGATTTCAGTATAACTTGGCACACAAGTAGACTACACTTAGATACATAATTCTGTGTATTGGTTTTTGATTTCGATGATTGGTGTTGCCGTGGTTACTAAAAATAGAAATTTCTGTGAAATTCTTTCAAAACGCTACTCCTCCTACAGTTTTGGTCTGATTTCAATATAACTTGGCACACAAGTAGACTACACTAAGATACATAATTCTGTGTATCGGTTTTTGATTTCGATGATTGGTGTTGCCGTGGTTACTAAAAATAGAAATTTCTGTGAAATTCTTTCAAAACGCTACTCCTCCTACAGTTTTGGTCTGATTTCAGTATAACTTGGCACACAAGTAGACTACACTTAGATACATAATTCTGTGTATCGGTTTTTGATTTCGATGAACGATGTTGCCGTGTTTACTAAAAATAGAAATTTCTGCGAGATTCTTTCAAAACGCTACTCCTCCTACAGTTTTGGTCTGATTTCAGTATAACTTGGCACACAAGTAGACTACACTTAGATACATAATTCTGTGTATCGGTTTTTGATTTTGATGAACGGTGTTGCCGTGGTTACTAAAAATAGAAATTTCTGTGAAATTCTTTCAAAATGCTACTCCTCCTACAGTTTTGGTTTGATTTCATTATAACTTGGCACACAAGTAGAATACACTAAGATACATAATTCTGTTTATCGGTTTTTGATTTTGATGAACGGTGTTGCCGTGGTTACTAAAAATAGAAATTTCTGTGAAATTCTTTCAAAATGCTACTCCTCCTACAGTTTTGGTCTGATTTCAGTATTACTGGCAAACAAGTAGAATACACTAAGATACATAATTCTGTTTATCGGTTTTTGATTTTGATGAACGGTGTTGCCGTGGTTACTAAAAATAGAAATTTCTGTGAAATTCTTTCAAAATGCTACTCCTCCTACAGTTTTGGTTTGATTTCATTATAACTTGGCACACAAGTAGAATACACTAAGATACATAATTCTGTTTATCGGTTTTTGATTTCGATGAACGGTGTTGCCGTGGTTACTAAAAATAGAAATATCTGTGAAATTCTTTCAAAATGCTACTCCTCCTACAGTTTTGGTCTGATTTCAATATAACTTGGCACATAAGTAGAATACACTAAGATACATAATTCTGTGTATCGAATTTTAATTTTGATGAACGGTGTTGCCGTGGTTACTAAAAAAATTTAGAAATGTCTGTAAAAGTGTTTCAAAATGCTACTCCTCCTACAGTTTTGGTCTGATTTCAGTATAACTTGGCACACAAGTAGACTACACTAAGAACATAAAGAGACTTTATCAACGATCATTATTCTATTTAGTTTCAAATCCCAGCTGCTTAAGTACTTTTCTCTTCCTTTGCTATAAGTTCAAACCAGTAGAGCTTCAGTCTCGACAGAGACTTCTGGTTCTTTTTTACAGAGATATAGTAATCTACAACCCTCTAGGACACAGTAGAAGGGATCTTATAACATTGACTGTGGATAGAGCTCAGGTCAAGGTCACCAACAGGTCAACAACCCTGGGGATTCCCCACCAGATCTCACCTGTCTTGGTGAATGGCAGCTTCTCCACTGATTTCTATGAAGTGAGACAGTTTAGCTCACCTTAAATGAAGGCTCAAATGAGCTTTCTGTTTGAAATTTGTCTGTTGTAGTTGTTGTTATCATTGATGTAAAATTTTCACATTTTCATCTTCTTCACCAGAATCATTGGTCCAATTTCAACCAAACTTTGCATAGAGTATCCTTTGGTAAAGGGGATTCATGTTGGATCAAATGAAGGACCACACTCTCTTCCAAAGGGAGATAATTAAGAAGTATTGAAAATTTGATTGGTTTAAAAATTGTCTTCTCAAGACCAGCAAAGTCACGATTAGTCACATTTATGTGGAAGCATCATTAGGTAGTTTAGATATTAGTTCGTTCAAATCTTGACGCTGGAGGTAGGATGGAATATTATGGGTGATCATATTTTACATAGAAATACAATGGAAAAATTTTAAAATTCCTCTCTGAAAACAACGAAGTCATGATAAGTCATATTTATATGGAAGCAGCCTAAGGTGTTGTATATTCAGATTTTTCAAAATCATGACCCGTTAGAGTGAGTGGATGGGGCCATGATGGGCAATCAAATTCTAAATAGGAATATTTAGGTAAAATCTTCTTCTATGGCAAAGGTGGATCCAGGGCCGGGCACAGCCACCCCCCTCCCCATTTGAATTTTTTGTATGTAGAACTTTAATTATGTCCATTATCCTAAAATCAAGGGAAAAACATCTCTTATTTGAAAGAATTTGCTTTGGACCCCCACCAGGGCTTTGCTCTAGACCTACTGGGGGCTTAGATGCAGCCTCCAGACCCCCACCCCACCTTCTACCTCCCCCTTCCATTATGAAATTCCTGGATCTGCCACTGTAAGGAACAGCAAAGTCATATCTAGACATATTTACTGAGTATATTGAAGCATCCTCAGGTAGTGGTAAATTCAAAATGATCCTCCCCCAGGGGTAGGTTGGGATTACTATGGGCAACCTATAAATATTGAATTGAAGCTTCTTAGAGAGTGCAGATTTTGGCTTGTTTAAGTTATGACCCCTGGGAATGGGATTGGAACCACACTGTCCAATCAACTTTTTCTATAAGAATATACAGGAAAAACTCATAAAAATCTTTTTCTTTAGAATAATAAGCCATATGATTAACCATATTTTTATGGAAGCATCCTCAGATTCAAGTTTGTTCAGGTCAGCTGGGGTAGGGTTGACCGCAATATATTATCCTAATTTTACATAGAAAAATGTAGGGGAGTTACTCTGGTGAGTTTCTGGTCCTCTTGTATGTATTCAGGGTAATGATTCTAATGGAGGAATGAATTAGATGTCCCTGCTTACATTCAGACATATGCATATGTATAACTAAATACATGTATATTTTAGTTTCAATTAATCTTTGTACGTTGATACAGTAAAACTCGGTTATAATGAAGTCACTGGGACCTGTGAAATTACATAATTGGTTATATCCGTATGAAGAATTCATAAAATTTATATACTTGGAGATCAAAAAAAAAAACCTTCATTATATCCATGAAATCGCAACACAAGTATCCGTATTCATACTAAACCAGTTTTACTGTACAGAGTTTCTGAACATTTCTAGTTGTCCTTTGAAGTCATCTTGCCAGCACTGTCTATTTCCTTCATAACCATACAGCAAGAGGAAGAAAATCAGAATGATCAGACCAGGCTGGTTCTGTTTAAAGAGCCAATCAAATTCTCCTCAAGTACAAGGTATGGATTTTTACTGAGTTCATTATCACTAATTTTTACATATCTTTGATATAACATTTTATTACATACTTAGTAATAAATACAGGATTTTTGCATATGCGATATGCCTGACGTCACAATAGTGGTATCAGCCCAGCAGGGCTGATATGGATTTGCGGGGCTGATACGGATCAATATCACACTCTTAGAAAATTAAACCTCAAAAAACATCATACACATATTTTGGGGGTTACATATTTGCATTTAATTTTAACTTTTTGAATGTAAGGATAATCTTATTGACAAATAATAGATTATTTTCAAATTACGGATCGGGCACATTTGAAATAGAAGTACATGTAGAAACAAACCCACACTGTATGAGACAATAGACCGTGTACATGTTAGAAGTCTGTGCATGATTATTTACTTATTTTCTTCTCAACTTAATGTGTACTGTATTTTATTACTAAGTATGTAATAAACATAATAAAACATACCCTTTTCCACATCACATCCTGTATCAGCCCTCGACCAATATCAGCCCTCGGGCCTTTGGCCCTCTGGCTGATATTGGTTTCTCGGGATAATACAGGATGTGATATGTAAAAGGGTTCGTATCATTCTCTATGATTTGAGCTTTCCACATTTCAAGGTTACCAGGAATTACTGTAGAAATAGACAAATCGCCATATTTCATCATCAGCAATACTTATCTGACAGCATACTTCTATACATGCAATGGGAGATTACAGGTTAGTTTTTTAGCTCTACTGGTCAGAGACCAGAAGAGCTTATGCGATAGTAATGCGTCCGGCGTCCGTCCGTCTGTCCGTCTGTCTGTCTAGCTGTCCGTCTGTCCGTCTGTCTGTAAACAATTTTTCAAAATGCTACTCCTCCTACAGTTTTGGTCTAATTTCAATATAACTGGGCACACAAAGAGACTACACTAAGATACATAATTCTGTGTATCGGTTTTTGATTTCGATGAACGGTGTTGCCGTGGTTACTAAAAATAGAAATTTCTGTGAAATTCTTTCAAAATGCTACTCCTCCTACAGTTTTGGTCTGATTTCAGTATAACATGGCACGCAAGTAGACTACACTAAGATACATAATTCTGTGTATCGGTTTCTGATTTCGATGAACGGTGTTGCCGTGGTTACTAAAAATAGAAATTTTTGTGAAATTCTTTCAAAATGCTACTCCTCCTACAGTTTTGGTCTGATTTCAGTATAACTTGAAACACAAGTAGACTACACTAAGATACATAATTCTATGTATCGGTTTTTGATTTCGATGAACGGTGTTGCCGTGGTTACTAAAAATAGAAATTTTTGCGAAATTCTTTCAAAATGCTACTCCTCCTACAGTTTTGGTCTGATTTCAGTATAACTTGGCACGCAAGTAGACTACATTAAGATACATAATTCTATGTATCAGTTTTTGATTTCGATGAATGGTGTTGCCTTGGTTACTAAAAATAGAAATATCTGTAAAATTGTTTCAAAATGCTACTCCTCCTACAGTTTTGGTCTTATTTCGATATAACTTGGCACACAATTAGACTATACTAAGATACATAATTCTGTGTATCGAATTTTAATTTTGATGAACGGTGTTGCCATGGTTACTAAAAATATAAATGTCTGTAAAATTCTTTCAAAATGCTACTCCTCCTACAGTTTTGGTCTGATTTCAGTATAACTTGGCACACAAGTAGACTACACTAAGAACCTAAAGAGACTTTATCAACGATCATTTTTCTATTTAGTTTCAAATCCCAGCTGCTTAAGTACTTTTCTCTTCCTTTGCTATAAGTTCAAACCAGTAGAGCTTCAGTCTTGACAGAGACTTCTGGTTTTTTCTAAGCTCAGAATGTATAATTTTTATTAAAAAAATGTTGTTATATTTACATATTAAACTTAAATTCTACTGTAGCTATGTTCAAGTTATGTCTGGAAATTAATATGTTAAATGAAGAAAACATATTATTCAAAAGACTGTTGTAAGAAATAATTGCTTTGTAAGTGAGTGCAAAGGGACAATTTCCTTAGAATTATTTTATAATAATTTCAGTATATAAAGCAGAATTCTGCTGGATTCATATGGAGGTCAGAGGTCAAGTTTGTAACCTACACTTCAGGGAAGGCATGGTCTACACTGTTTAAAGACAAAGGAGGAGCTTACACTTTTGTCCCTGATGGACCAGCAGAGGTAAATTTACACTTTAGCCTCAATGGACTTTATACTTTTGTACCTGATTGACATGTCGAGGTAAGTTACATTTTAGTCCTTGATGGATCAACAGAGGTAAGTTACACTTTAGTCCTTGATGGACCAACAGAAGTAAGTTACATTTTAGTCCTTGATGGATCAACAGAGGTAAGTTACACTTTAGTCCTTGATGGATCAACAGAGGTAAGTTACACTTTAGTCCTTGATGGATCAACAGAGGTAAGTTTTCACTTTTGTCCTTGATGAATCAACAGAGGTAAGTTTACACTTTAGTCCCTGATGGATCAACAGAGGTAAGTTACACTTTAGTCCTTGATGGATCAACAGAGGTAAGTTACACTTTAGTCCCTGATGGACCAGCAGAGGTAGGTTTACACTTTTGTCCTTGATGGACCAACAGAGGTAAGTTACATCTTTGTCCTTGATGGACCATCAGAAGTAGGTTTACACTTTTGTCCTTGATGGGCCAAAAGAGGTAAGTTTACACTTTAGTCCTTGATGGATCAGCAATGGTATTTTTACACTTTTGTCCCTGATGGACTATCAGAGGTAGGTTTACACTTTTGTCCCTGATGGACCAGCAGTGGTAATTTTACACTTTAGTCCCTGGTGGACCAGCAGTGGTATTTTTACACTTTCGTCCCTGATGGATTAGCAGAGTTAGGTTTACACTTTTGGCCCTGATGGATCAGCAGTGGTAAGTTTACATTTTAATCCCTGATGGATCAGCTGATGTAATTTTACCCTTTTGTCCTTGATATATCAGCAGAGGTAAGCTTACACATCATGTGAGATTAACATTTTTAGGTCACCTGAGTCACTCAGGTGACCTATTGCTATCTGATTTTGTCCGTCTTCGTTCGTCGTCAATCGGTCATAAACTTTTGAACATTTTCAGCTTCTTCTCTGCAACTACTCCACCAATTTCAACCAATTTTGGCACAAAGCATCTATGGGTGAAGGGGAACAAAAATTGTGAATTTCATGGTCCCTGCTCCCCTGGGGCCTGAGGGGGGGGGGAGGCCAAAACCACTAAAATTAATGCAATATTTAAAATCTTCTTCTTTACTACTGGACATCAAGCAGTCAAACTGTTGGCATGATTGTAATCAGCATTGAGTCCTCTATCAAAATTTTGAAATTCATGGCCTCAGAGTCAGGGGTTCTAATGCTTGGGTGGGGCTATATAGATTATATAGTAAAAGTGCATTATTTCTTTGAAAATCTTCTTCTCTGCTCCTGGGCATTAAATAAACTAACCAAGTATATAGTTATGTTAAATAAGACTGCCTCTTCCAAAATTGTGAATTTCATGACCCCAGGGTCATGGGTCCTGGAGTTAGGAACAGGCTCCATTGATTATATAATGAAAATGCATTATTTCTTTGAAAATCTTCTTCTCTGCTCCTGGGCATTAAATAAACTAACCAAGTACAAAGTTATGTTGAATAAACCTGCCTCTTCCAAAATTGTGAATTTCATGGCCCCTGGGTTGGGGGTTCTGGTGCTTAGGGTGGGGCTCTATTGATTATATATTGAAAATGCATTATTTCTTTGAAATCTTCGTCTCTGCTTCTGGGCATTGAATAAACTAACCAAGTACAAAGTAATGTTGAATAAGGCTGCCTCTTCCAAAATTGTGAATTTCGTAGTCCCTGGGTTGGTGGTTCTGGTGTTAGGGCGGGGCTCTATTGATAATATTGTGAAAATGCATGAATTCTTTGAAAATCTATTCTTTTTCTCCTAGATATTACGCCAATGATCTAAGTACATATTTAATGATAAATTTGAAAGGTTCCTCTTCCAAAATGATTAATTTCAAGGCCCCTGAGTCAGGGATACCAGGAGGGAGGGGGGGGGGGGTACTTAGTCTGAGTTACTTAGTAGTTAGTAAAATTAATGCTTTGAAATCTGCTCTTTGGTATTAATCAACCATTTATGATGAAATAAAATTTATAAAACTTTGAAGTATGTGCTCTAGGGTTAGTGATTCCTGTGGGGTGGTGTGCGTAACTGGTGGTTATAAAGTGGAAATGCATTTTCTCTTTGTTACTCTGATCTACCTCTGGGTATTCAGTAACCAGTGAAAGTAAGCATGTAAAGTGTATAATTTTGATAAACAATGTTGCCTCTTTCAAAAATGTGAATTTCATGGATTTTGGTTTCAAACACGAACCAAATTCAATTGCTGGAAAAATGTTACATGATACTCAGGTGACCTATAAGGCCAGTGGGTCTCTTGTCTTCCATGACATCACTATTGATGGTCGAAGAGTTTCTCCAAATGATGAAAAAACCATGACCCAAGCTCTAAAGCTTTCCTGTATTTGTTAGGTTCTGTTTGCCACCTGAGATAAACATGTATGCATATTAGTTTCAGCATTTTTGTGTAGATAATATAGTTATGGAATCAAGTATTTTCAGCTGATTTGTAAATTGTAGACTTTCTCTGAACCATTAGAAGCTTTATTTCTTATCGACGGACCACTGTTTTCAAGAGTTGTTACTGTTCAGCTCAGTGTGATCCAAAGTTTTACAGTCCATAAAACTTCTGGTAATTCCACTTCAGCCTTTTTAAATGTTTATCAATAATTTCACTTCATACTATTTAATGTTTATGGATAACAATTTGTCAAATACCTGAGTTTTCAAACTATTTTTAATTAAATAACACGATCAAGTCCAATTTCGATATTTTGATTTTATGCAATAAAACAGTTTTTTTTATGTCAAGTTTTTACATATCTGCCCTCTTTGGACTTTTTAATTAGGGCTTATGAATAGAGGAGTTTACATAGAGAACAACATTAACATACAGAGCCTTGACAACACAGAACTGATGATGCGAATAGAATCTGATGTAGGAGGATCCAAAAGTGAACTGTGTGTGGATCTAAATGGATTCCAGGTAAAAATTTTAAAAATCTGTTTCGTTTTGTTTTTGTCGAGGAGCTTATCCTATTAGCCTATACAGATTTACATATACATTTGTATTTATACAGATGCACAGAAAGGGGACATTTACAAAGAGAGGTATACAGGGTAACTTTTTCCCCATGACAACCATGGCTTCTGTTGAAAATGAAAGCAGCAAATTAACTCTACTTACCACATCCTCTAGAGGAGCCGCGAGTCTGTCACCAGGTTTGTACACAAAGCAATAATCATTGAAATACTGGAGATTCAATCTTAGTTTACATAAGATGTTCAGTCAGTAGCTGCCATTAACTTGGTTCCCAGGCTTTTGGCAATTGAGGTCTCTGCCAAAATTATTCTTGGACTATTGATTTTTTTTCTAGTTCATTCATAATCTAAAAATACAGTTGTTCATAACAATATGATAGTTTTGACCTCCATGGAATGTAATGATATTAGTCAATATATTGATATGACCACAAGTCCCCCCTCTAAATGTTACAGGCTGGCTGGAGGTGGGGCTGGACCGTAGAATGCTACAGGACGACTGGCGGGGGCTCGGCGAGGGGGTTACAGACAATGTCCAAACCAGGAGTTCATTTATGTTGATATTTGAGAGAAAGTCCTCAAACAAGGTTAATCACATGTAAAAATATACACATAATGGTACATAATGAAAGAAGGGGTATAATTATCTTTGATAAAAAATCTAAAGTTTGATTTTATTGTAGCATTTGGTGAAAAACTCTTAATCCAAGCCAGTTATAAGTGTAAAATATAAGTAAAAAAAATAGTAAATTAAACATGAATAATATCCTGTTTATTTGTTGATTATAGATATCTAACGTTTGTTTTCCATCATCTCTGGTCAGCCAGCTTTCTGATGAACTAGAGAACCCCAGTGTTGTAGCACAGACAAACTCTGTCTTCCATGTGTATCCACGACAACAGGCCTCATTGATCAAACAGACAAACTCTGTCTCCCATGTGTATCCACGACAACATGTCTCATTGATCAAACAGAGTCTTCCTTGTAACATTCATCTCATCAACTACAGGTATACAACCTCACATATAGACAAGGTGGAAGAAATGAACCATTCCACCATAGCTTCATACTTGCTAGTGGTGCATAAAAGGAAGTTTGATTGCAACACAGCATCAGAAAACAATGTTTGTTCAAACCCTGAGGCTTTTAGTTTATGGGATTTATTTATGGACTGCTCAATCAAAAAAGCATGGGAGACATCACTAACAGGAACTGTGATATTACAAGAAATACCAAAATATAAGGAAGTCTCTTTTAATGCCATGGAAATTAAAACTTTTAAGGTGCTTTGTCATTAAAGTTTGCTGTCATTAAGTTTTGCTTTTTTTCAAATAAGGATAACAGTTGATTTGATAACTGCATGTTCCAGAGAGAGAGAGATAGAGAGAGAGGTATTTCAAAGCTATACTTTTTCCCTAAAAATCTATTCTGTTTTTTAATGACAAATTGGGAATGCACTGTATTAGACTCGCTTCCTGGATTATCTGTATTATTAGATGTAAAATAGAAATTGACTTCCTCCTCCTAGTCATGTTGTACTATAAATACCTTGTTCTGTATATTATACAACAAAGTCGAGTAATGATCAGATATATAATAGAGTCTGCCCTAACACAAGAACCCCTGATCCAATGGCATGAAATTCTGAAATTCTCAATTTAGGAAGAGGCAGCCTTGTTCAACATAACTATATATGTACAGTCAAACCTGTATTAATAGACCTTCCAACAGAGAAAGGAAAAAGAGTCACAAAGGGGACAGGTGGTCTTTTAATACAGGTTGCTTATTTTCTGCAGTGTTTAAACATACAATGTTGAAAATATTATACATGTATGTGGAATGAATTTTATACCATGAACTGTGAATTTGCAGACCAGTTGTGCATATTTGATGAGATCTGCATTGTATTTCTTCTGCAAAATTTGTTTAGAAAATTGCATGACAAACAAGATAACTTCAGTTTTTCAATCTATAGTCAACTTAATTTCTGTAGTAATACCAGTATTCATCTGTCAAACGCAAAGAATGTTTATGTCTTCCATGTCATTTGATACTTAAGAGAGCAATCTTTTGTAATCTGAGGCAGACTAGTTAAAGATAAGTTGATGTAACAGGAGTTCAAAAATGTCATATTTACATAGAGAGCATTTTGAAAAATATGGTTGTTATAATATTACAATGCTAGCAAAAAAAAATCCATCATGGATTGTATTTTGACTTACATACCACAAGACAGCACCAAGTGCCAGTATATTCCAAACAAGAAGCCCATGGGCCACATCGCTCACCTGAGTATTGTGGCTAGGAAAAAGTAGAACTTGGTTTATTATTGAAAAGTTTAAATCCAAAATAGTCCCATGACCAATTATGGCATTGATATTCTTGAGATGATTTTTAAAGATTTTTCCTATATATTTCTATGTAAACTTTGATCGGCAATTGTGGCCCCGAACTACCCCCGGGGGTCATGATTTGAACAAACTTGAATCTACACAACCTGAGGATGCTTCCATATAAATATGATCAATTATGCCTTTGCAATTCTTGAGAAGAAGATTTTTAAAGAATTTTCCTATATATTTCTATGTAAAACTTTGATCGGCCATTGTGGCCCCGCCCTATCCCCAGGGATCATGATCATGAATCTACACAAGCTGAGGATGCTTCCATATAAATATAATCAATCATGGCTTTGCTATTCTTGAGAAGAAGATTACTAAAGAATTTTCCTATATACTTTGATCGGCCATTTTGGCCCCACCCTACCTCCAGGGGTCATGATTTGAAGAAATTTGAATCTACACTACATGAGGATGCTTCCATATAAATATGATCAATTATGCCTTTGCTATTCTTGAGAAGAAGTTTTTTAAAGAATTTTCCTATATATATTTCATTGTAAAACTTTGATCAGCCATTCTGGCCCTGCCCTAACCACGGGGGTAATGATTTGAACAAATTTGAATCTACACTACCTAAGGATGCTTCCATATATTGTAAATCACTTTTTATTCGCATGAACTTTATTTTCGCGTAATTTGCCCACGAAAATTTAATTCTCGCGTATAATAGTATTCCTTAAGATTATATAGAGCAATAACCACAATTCGTGAAAATTTTGTGTCGCTTATCAATTATCAATGACTATCTCGCGAAAATTAAGTGATATACAGTAAATATGATCAATTATGGCTTTGCAATTCTTAAGAAGAAGATTTTTAAAAAAAATTCCTATATATTTTATTGTAAAACTTTGATCGGCCATACTGGCCCTGCCCTACCCCCGGGGGTCATTTGTTCAAAAGAATTTTCCTATATATTCTTTGTAAAACTTTGGTTGGCCATTGTGGCCCCGCCCTACCCCCGGGGGGTCATGATTTGAACAAACTTGAATCTACTCTACCTGAGGATACTTCTATATAAATATGATCAATTATGGCTTTGCAATTCTTGAGAAGAAGATTTTTAAAGAATTTTCCTATATATCTATGTAAAACTTTGATTGGCCCCGCCCTACCCCCAGGGGTCATGATTTCAAAAATTTGAATCTACATTTCCTTGGGATGTTTCCCCATAAGTTTCATCCTTCCTGGCACAGTGGTTCCTGAGAGAAAGATTTTTAAAACATGCCACCAAATTTTCACTAATTCCCATTATCTCCCCTTGAATGACGGCGTGGCCCTTCATTTGAAGAAACTTGAATCCCCTTCACCCAAGGATGCTAAATGTGGCAAGTTTGGTTGAAATTGGCCCAGTCGTTCTGGGGAAGAAGTTGAAAATGTGAAAAGTTGACAGACGGACTACATGTACAGACAAATTGTGATCAGAAAAGCTCACTTGAGCTCTCAGCTCAGGTGAGCTAAAAATGAATCAGTTACCCAGTCACATTCAAAAATTGTGAAAAATGTAAAAAGAACTATGGATGTATTATAATATCATAGATCACAAGGTTATAGAACAGCATTGTTATCATGGGTTTGGATTGATTCCAGTGAATAAACAATGCCATTCATTTTTCAAAGCATTAGACTGTACTTATGTTTTCATTGATAAGCATGAACATTCCTTCCGGAACTTGATAGCTTAGTCATTTCAAACAAATGAGAAACGCAACGCAATTGATATCAGGAAGGATGTTCAAATATTTGGTTTATAAATTAAAATAAAATACAAGAAATATTTTAATGCATGCATGATTAACAACAAAGGTGTTTAATGGCGGGTAAGTTAATATGTTCACTCTGTGAGTCATACCGATTAAAGACCAGAGGCCTGTTCAACTGAGCGCTCGCCAAACTATTGGTGGTATCAGGAATTTTGACGAGCGCTCGCGAACGTTCGCTCTGCTGAACAGGCCTCAGAGCTTATGGGAAAGTAAGGTATCTGTCGTCCGGCTGTGAACAATTTTTAAAAATGTTAATTCTTCAGTTTTCGTCTTATTTCAATATAACTTTGCGTACGTAAACATATATCTGTTTATCGGTTCTTGATTTCAATTAAGTGTTGCTGTGGTAACTAAAATAGAATTTTCTGTGAAATACTTTCAAAAGACTATTCCTTTTACAGTTTGGTCCGTAATCCAAGATTTCTCTTGACTCTAACCCCTGACTCTAAACACAATCTAAAAAAAAAAAGCAGGGGTAGAGTCAGAGGAATCTCGGATTATTTGGCCTTTTTTTTCAGAGTGTCAGTCAGTCCTTTTTTTTTTGTCAGCGCAACTCCTCATAAACCGCTGCACAGAATTTCGTCAAACTTTGCAGGTATTTAGGATACAATGTGTAGATGTGCATATAACCAGGAAATTCCGATTCCATTATTTTTTCCGGGAATTTCCGCACTTTTTAACTTAGGCATTTGGCCATACCTTGAATATAGAGATGAACAGTTTGTCAGCGCAACTCCTCATAAACCGCTGCACAGAATTTCGTCAAACTTTGCAGGTACATGTATTTAGAACACAATGTGTAGATGTGCATATTACCAGGAAATCCCGATTCCGTAATTTTTTCCGGGAATTTCCGCACTAAAAACTTAGGCATTTGGCCATACCTTGAATATAGAGATGAACAGTTTGTCAGCGCAACTCCTCATAAACCGCTGCACAGAATTTCGTCAAACTTTGCAGGTATTTAGAACACAATGTGTAGATATGCATATTACCAGGAAATTCTGATTCCATTATTTTTTCCGGGAATTTCCTCACTTTTTAACTTAGGCATTTGGCCATACCTTGAATATAGAGATGAACAGAAGTAGTATAAGCATCCTGGCCGGGCGGGTCAACTGAGTGCACTTTTGGGGTTGGGGGGATAGGCGGGTCAACTGAGTGCAGGTTTGGAGGGGGATAGGTGGGTCAAGAGAGTGCAGCCCCTGGGGGGATAGGTGGGTCAAGAGAGTGCAGCCCCTGGAGGGGATAAGTGGGTCAATTCAGTACATATAATCCCCCTAAATACGGGGGTGTGTTTACACTATGTTTACATTGGTACGCTGCTACTACGATTCACAACGCTGCTACTACGATTTTGGCAAATACTCAAGAATTTGATTATGACGTCACTCATTCACAGTGATTTTCCGAAAATGAAAAAACAATAACACACAATAGAAACAAGAACACAGCAATTTTATTCAAGTGAAAAAATACATTTACATTTTCTGTTTCTTCTTCTGTGCCTTATCAGTGGTCAGGGGTAGTTTCCTCTTGGGTTCCTGAGGCTTTTTCTCCATTTTTTGTATTTCTTTAACGAATTGTTGATCCTCCTCATCCTGTGTACACTGATTAGCCCAATGACCAGATTTCCCGCACTTGTAGCACGAATCCTGTTTTTTTCGGGGACAATCTGGGGCCCAATGCCCTAACTCTTTACAGATGAAGCATGGATCCGTCTGTCTGGTTTTCTTTTTTTCTCCCGATCCCCCTTGTTTTTTCTGGTAAGTGCTTCCTCCTTTCATTTTAGTGATGTAACTTTTCAGATCAGTCAGCTTGTTGTCAAGACCAGACAGCATGTTAACAATCCCAGCCAGAGTTGTATTTAAGATGTCCATATCTTCTTTATTCGCATATGCTGGAAGATTATACATGCCCAAATCTAATCCCACTGCATCCTGTGACTCTGGCATGGGGGCTCCTACATACCCTTCAGGTATCACATAGCTGGGGTTGTGTGGGGTATTCATCATTGCTTCTGCCATAATATTTTTTCACGTCTGTCAAGTTCGAAATGTCAAGCAAGACTGATCCTCAAATCCCAGCTCCGCTTTATATACCTATCTGTTGCATCATCTTTATATACCTGTTGCATCATCTTTTTTATACTTGTTGCATCATCTTTTTTATACCTGTTGCATCACCTGTAAGGGGGGACCGTGTGCAAAAAATACGATAGGCCTACGTTTTATACGGAGGGGTATAAATGAGAAGAAAAGTCTGATCCTTTCTTCACAATCGACTATCATGTCAACCCTGATACACACTCACTCTCTGATTTTAGATGGTTATGATTGTTTAGTACGATGGGCACAAAACCACCAAGAATCTCTACCCCCGGAGGCAGAACAAGTATTTCAGGAAGCCACCACTATCATGGAAACCCCTCAGGATTTATGGTTACAA